GGTTGCAGGGGTTTTGGAGGTGGTGGTCAGCAGCAGTATTTGGTCTGCGCAGCATAAATTTGTTGAGCTGCTTGTCACTTCGAGTCATGTGAGTTACTGTGACTGTGCTGTTTCCTGAGCCTTGACCCTGAAGTGAACTCTCGGGCAGGAAATCACCTTCTTTTTTATGGCATGTCAGCAAAGAAACACAATTACAATGAGAAACTAAGCTTGTAGACATAATCCCTTGTATTGACAAACACTGGTTATTGAATTGCTCTTTTAAGAAGACTGATTGAACCATAAAACCCTTTTTAAAACTGTTGCATAAACTATATATTTGATCTTCAAGTCTAAATTAGAGCTCATGGGACAATTTTAGTATTGACAGTGGCTCAAATGGCTATGAAGTTCTGTCAACTGCAAAATTAGTGCAACACCACAGTCGAGAGCCAATTATAACTGTAAGCTACTTTTTGTTTGGGTGATCCGTTCTTTATTTAGGTTACTAAGCTCACACAACCTACTAAACTCTACCTGTGGAGTGTAGCTGGTAAACAGGTGAGGTGAACCAGGGGAGTGAGGACATTGCACTAGTAAGTCAAAGTGACTGAACCAAATCTAAAAGTTGGACTTAATATTGTCACATGGCTACAATGAGATCCTAATGATGACCAGTGTTGGCTGAAGCAGTGGTAGTTTAAAAAGGTATTTGTGGGATAACATAATAAAGTTTAAAAATGTTACATGTTGCATTCAGATCAATGTGACCAAGACTGTTAAGGTTTTGGCTGCTTTGAGTGCAGAAGCCGGATGTCTGACCGGTGGGTGGTGCTAGATTAGATGATCATCCTACAAAGGATTTTACCTTTTAATCACATGCTTGCTTTACATGCCACATACTTCAGAGTCGGAAAATCATCATTATATTAGCTACAGTGACGGTTTAGACCTTTATGACCACAGTGCTATAAGAGAAGACCTTGTTTAAATGCCTCTATGCTTCTTGAGCCTGATTGCCGCCCTCAGTTCATCAGCAATCACATCTGACCTATGGGAATCTCTCTTGGGGATGAAGTAATAGGAACTTTCTCCTCTGGGGTTTTTTTCCGCCTCCATCACTCTCCAAGTAAATATAGCTTGATGGCCACATGCCCTCAATTTCTCCCACCCATCCTTCCATCTCCAATACATCCGATACAAAGGGAGAAATTAAGTATAGATGGGGAATCGTATTTTGTGATAGATGATCTTCAGCAAAATGTGGTCATTACCGCTCAGGCAATTGCTATTTTGATGCATAGATATCCTTATCGAACCGCCAGGAAATTTAAATGAGATTTGAATTTTTCATGTACCTCCAAATGGCCGGCGCTCTTAATGTCTTGATTTCACTGTGTGAGCTTTGAGGGAGCCCGAGCTCAGTGACAAGAATACCTCAGCAGTGCGTCATTTCCAGCGGGTCCCTCTGTCATAGTCATGTGAATGATTCATTTTTATCCGACTTGATTCATTAGGTCTTTTTTTGTGAGCAGTTGTTGTGATATTAAATAATCGGGGACGTATTTTGATTATTATCAGGTGAAGGAACATGTTTTTGAACACTAAATAAAATGTGTAAATCTCATTCAGTTTTTTAAATCACTCAAAAGCTAAGCCTTAATGTTTTCATCTCCATGTTTGATATGCGAGTGTAACCACGTGACTCTAGTGATGAATGCATTGGCTTAGCTTGGACCCTTCAGACTGCTAATTACTCTGTTTTCCACTCAGATTCTTTATGGCATACTATTTGTAAATGAGCGACAAGTAAAAGACTGCAGTGTATTCCTAATATTCCATCACATACCCTGGATTGTTGTAATTGTGTCCTCTCAGTTTTGCCTTTTCCCCGCAAGGTGTTTCATTCATCAGCTGGCAATGTAATTAAAGTATTCTGAGATTCCTTTGGTACAGAAGCTGGAGGCCACATCTCTCTGCACAAGCTACATTCTTGTTCCTGCTATTTCATGCATTCAGTTTTTGTGAATACCGGATGTTTTCTGTTTAAGACTTTAGAATTATACTCGGGCATCTTGTTCTAATCGAACATCTTTTATGAAAATTGTGAGACAAATGTGGCTGAGGGATCCACTTCAGAATTAATAATATGTACCTTTTGTTGGTCAAAAAATCCACGATTCCGCACCTCACAATATTTGTACAATGTTTACAATTAGTCCAAGAAGAAATGCGGCCTTCACATTGTGAGGCAGAGGGTGAGGAGGTCTGGGTGGTGAATGGCTGTGGAGAAGTTTACACAGGAAGAAACCAGATTGAGCATCCTGTCACAGACTTGCTGTTTCTGTTTTTCTGCTTATGGTTTTTCTTCAACTTTGACCAAACGTTTCATTTGCCCCGACCTTAAACATGTTTCTGTTCCTAAAACATTTTTTTCCTAAGCTTTGTTTATTGTGCTTTTGATCCTCACCCCACGGGGTGAGAAGCCAGTCATCATTAGTTTTTTATGCAATTGTTTGTGAATACAAAACAAGTGAATGAAAGAAAGCTAGCGAATGATAAACCGTGCATACTTTCTCACCTTCAGTCAATGCATGAAATTAGAACTGCACTTGAATACATACGATTACATTCCTCCGCCAAGGCCGAACAGCCCAACTCCAAATTGCAAACACACATAGATATTAATCACCTAAAACGTGGTGACAAGATGACTTGCATGTATCCAGGTTCAGAAAGACGCTCAGAAGTTCAGATCATGATCATTGTGAGTGTAGAAGTAAATGAAGAACTGATCTCTAGTGATATCTGAAATTTCTAGATTGGACCATCACATTCACCTATCCTCCAATCAAGACTCATCTACTGTAAACTACTGCATGTTTGTCCTTCCCTGAGTAAACATTCACATTGACCTTCCTGCTCCTTCCTTTTGACAGAAACTTTCTCACCAGGCTCGACCTTGTTCACTGACACACATACAGATGACAGGATGCATCAGGTCCCTGGGGTGTAAACCTGTGAACAGCAAGCAGTGAAAATGTGAAGTTACTCTCGGGGTTTCCCCTCGAGTTGACCTGTCGGCTGTGCCCTGGGGGCCAGCATACCTCCACAAAAGAGGGAGAGAGAAGAAAAAAGACTGACACATTGATGAAGAGTGGATGGAAGAAAGCATCCAGAAAGAGAAAAGAAACTGAAAGCCATAGACAGAAAAAAAAAAGGAGAAAGAGACACAGATAAGTGCGCCTTTGAAGAGAACATCAGCAGGCGTCATGGCACTCAGGCAAACCTTTCTCCTCCCTCTGTACAGAGGACCCATCTCAGTAGATGAAAGCAGGAGCCTCTTTGAGGTGGTGCCCTGGCATTATCCCTGCATCCTGCATCAAGTAATTGAAAGACCCAAGTGTATGGTAGGGGGCTCAGGGAAAGGGGAGAGGCATCAGGCTGAGTCATCCCTGCAAGTTTTGGACTGGCAGAAAGTGAGGAGAGAGCCATGTTTTCTCAGGGGTTTAGACGTTCAATGAACTGGGGACTGACTAAGAAGAAGAAAAAAACAGTAGAAGACGTTAAAAAAAAAGTTTCAAATTATTACAGACATCTAAATCTCTACCTGCCTGTCTATCTGTGGAACCCATACCTCACAAACTGTTCATGTTATCACCTTCACACTTCTTATTTTTACTGTTTAGGGCCCAAAGATGTGCAGTGTTGAATTAAGTGTGAATCCAAAACGCAATGTGTTTATACTTTTGAATAAAAAGGCGACCAGGGATCTGTAGCAGCGGCGGCAGTGGCAGGTGGGACTCATGAATGCAAGCGATGCCGTCTATCACGATCAACATTGCAGATGAACATTTCTTTTGCATTTCGAGAAAGAAATGTACAACCCGTTCCAAACAGGCATGTTCACAGCGAGCACTGCACAATGGAAATCTAGTGTGATGTCTTTTACAGCCAGACAAGGAACCAGATATGTTGAATACACCCTCAGGGAGCTGGCATCTCAGCATTAACATGTTTATTATACAATTTATTAAGAACAAGACTAATGAATACTAAGCTCCCTACTGTTAGAGTCGCTGATTGAGCATTTAGTATGGAAGGAGTATAACACATATTATATGCAGGAGCTTGTGAGTTGTGATGCTTTATATAGCTCATAAAAGGGGGTGTAATTTGGAAACTGGCTGGCTGCCTGCCAAGTTAACTGACCAACTGAAGCAGGAAGGACATTTGTGCTTATAAAAATCTAGAGGACAACACTATGATTTTTGGGTGCAGCTGTGAGCCGTGTATATGTTATAATAAAATAAACAGAATAGTGGTGTGTGTGTGTTGCAATGCTTTTATTTGAGGAGTCCTGAATACACTCGATGGATCAGTGTAATCTCTGACAAATCAGTGTCGATGCACTTTCTACTCGCTCTTTAATCCTCCCTGCAATGAGACTTAATGTTTTGCAGCAAATGTATGAACTGTATTCTTGAGACGTGCACATTGTCACACTTTCACCTTTGATGAAGTCTGTGTTTGTTCGATGTCATTTACCTTTCAAACACATGTATGTGAATTGAAAAAGAGGACGAGAAACTGTGTCATTGTCTCACTGGGAGACATCCAGACATTTATTATCAGTAGCTGGAGCACCCACACCCTCGTCATTTGTCCCCCTAAAGGTGTCCTCCTCCTGTTCCTCTTCGTCCCTGCTCGCCGTCCTCCCTCACTCCCTCTGCTTCTATTTATTTTTTTCCAGTGGATGACACAGAACATGGTTCCTCATTATCAGCCAGACTCCTCCTTCTCTCTGACTGCTGGTGTTTCTCCTCCCTCCCTCTTGTGTGTAGAGGCTCGGCAGTGAGCGTTAATCCCGGATTGCGCTGCCCTGCCGTCTGCATCCCGTCGTTGCTGGGAGAGCATGGCACGGCTCCAGGACCCCTGTCCTCACACAGGAGAGAAGTGACCGAGTGAGAGAGAGAGAGAGAGAGAGAGAGAGAGAGAGAGAGCGAGGGAGGGAGGGAGAAAGAGGGAGAGTGGAAAGAGGTGCAGTTGGGCTGTTTCACGACTGTCACAGCTACTTGTTCGCTGCCCCTGCACTGTTTCTGAGTTTCAGTCTAACACTCTCTCATACATAAACAAGAGAGGGAAAAAAAGAGAGAAAGGATGATGGCCATTCTGTCGCAGCTTTGGGTGCAAATGTGATTGAAGAACTATCCTGGGTTCCAGCACATCATCACAACCTCGCTCTGCTTGTTGCGTCTTCCTCACCACTCTCACTTAGGAGGGATTAAACTTTTTTTTTTTTTTTGATCTCTTGTTGGCACATCCGGAACTCTGAGAGTCTCTGACATGGAGTCTCCCACCAAAGAGATCGAGGAGTTTGAAAGCACGTCCCTGAAGTACCTCCAGCCCGAACAGATTGAAAAGATTTGGCTCCGGCTCCGGGGATTGTGAGTATACATCCACTTTTACTCTTTTCAACAAGTGTGAAGAAATGCTGTGCGTATGTACAGTATGTATGAATGTGAGTGTGTGCCTCTGCATGTGTGACACACTGTATGTGAATATATCTGAAACTATTAATCACAGACAAATTCAGATAAAACCCTACATGGAGAACTTTGTTAACCTAAACGACATACTCATTTTGTTTCCTGTGTGTGTGTCTAAATGTCATTCTATGGTTGCAAGGACAAATTTTACCAGTTTAACCATCGCTACAACTTCAGTTTTAACAGCTTTAATATGTTTTGTACTTCACTGCACCAGATGCAGAGTTTTGCTGCTGCCTCATAAGCAACCAGATGTTGGTGCCATTTTTATCTCAACAACAACACACTTGTCAATGTAAGATGCAAGAAGACTATAATTCGTACCTAAATTATTTGATTTGTGTATCTTCGAAAGGGAAATTTCGTACATTTCTCAGTTTTTTTCATCTCCTTATTTTTGCCATTTATTTTTGGGGGGTGGCTTCTGTCACCCACCTGAGCTTTTGCCCTTTAAATAATACAAGAACCTCCTCAAGTCAAGCATTCCTCAGTTTCTGTGAAATGCTGCAGCAGTATAAAATACTACTATATTACTTTCATACATCCACCAGCTCATCAACACCTCTGTGACCTTTCGCCCTAAGACGAAAACCCTGCACAGTTTATAATGTATGCAGGTTGAAGTGGGAATTTTTCTCATTATTCTTACTCAGCAGGGGGATCAGTGTTGCTAGGACGGTTTTCTATTTGGAAAAAGACATCTTAAATGTTACTGCTGGAGGTCTGAATGAAACGGTTTCCTCCTGCACCACAGATGTCGACAGAGTAAATGATACACGGCTTTTCACGAGTTCATCTATCATCTTTCCTCTCACATCGCTCTAATTTATTCTTAGTTATTTTCGTGTCATTGTATTTCTGTTGCTCCGTGATTAGTCATTGTTTCTGTGTCATAAGCCCAACATGTGGTCCCCCCCCCCATCCTCTTCCATCATCCTCTGCCACGCTTGGCTTCCTCGGATGGCTTTATTGTCTCTTCCATTTGGTCACCGCTATAAATTTCCTATCATAACCATCTGTAAATATCTTTGGGGATATTTGATAGATAGTGAGTCCGATGAATGTAACAGGGGTCGTAGACTTTCTTCCTTCTTATTTTCTCTTTTCTAAATTTTTTCTTCATCATCATGGCTGCATGGCTGCAGTCTGCTGGGTGCTCTGAGGGCTCCTGTTGCGTGTCAGAGATCACATTAGCCTTTAATCTCACAAAGAGCCTCTGTCTGAAGAGAGAGCTCTGAAAGACAGGCAGCCCCCACAGATGTCGACGCACCATACTGTGTATGTTGTGTGTTTAATAGGGAGGGATTGGTCCTTTGCAGTATATGCGTGTGTGTGATGTATAAAGGTTGATGGTGCATGTGGTTTTGTGGATGATATAGATTGGATGTGTGTTAGGGAGTGTATGCAGCAGCCTGGTGACATTTACTGTATGTGCTGCCAGCTTATCCTAGGAGATTTGTTTGGCAGCTGTATGATTTGTGTGTGTGTGTGTGTGTGTGTGTGCACGCTGGATGGCTATCACAGCACTCTCTCTGGCACAGTGCACTCCACAGAGTACACCAATCATCCTTGGACAGGCAGGGGGATCATTCGCTTCGGACAGTTCTCCCCCTGCTCAACCTTCAGTGATGCCGTCTAAAGCCTCGGTGACATCAACTGATCAAGGAATGAACAGCGTGATGTGCTTTATTACTTCCCTTTGACAAATCACCCCTTTATGTTTTTGCATCTGTGAATGGATTCCAATGGATTTCCATAAATAAATTAGATCACTGGGACAGACCCGACCGCTCCGTCACCCACTGATTAATGGAAATCAATGCATTATTTAATCACTTGATCAACAGTTCATCACAGAGAGCTCCCTTAAGGGCATCTTAAGACTCTGGCCAAGGAGGATCAAGGTGGTGGGGCTGACCGCTTTATTGCATTGTCTGATTTGCGAGGCACAAAACATAATCTAAAAATGCTACACTACTTTTACATTAATATTTTACCTCTTATGCCATAGTCTTTTTCCCAAGTATGAGGATTAACTGCTGATCTTCATGTTTAAAGTAATAATCTGGTTAACTAGTTTTACAGCCCAAAGCATCAGTTGACATATAAAAAAATATATCAGATGAATCACTAATTAAACAGTACATTAATAAAAGCCTCAAACTAGATTCACTTAACAAACTGCAATAATTAAGTGCGTCTTACATATTAATGAAGGTTAGGATTTGTCAGTTGGGTGGGGGGGGCTTGGATCAAATGTAGCGGTGCAGTGGTGGTGCTGGTGGGTTTTGGGGGTCGTGAGGGTTGATTACATACGTCAGCGAGCCGTCGTCCCGGGAGCATGTAGGCAGCCCACTCTCAGCCTCACACCTAATCAGAGGAGGACAGTAAAGACACTGACAGGGTCGGTAAAACCCTAATGGGTTTTTTGATGGCTCACCGGCCCACATTATCATGAATAAAAGTACCGATCACATTTATTTACTTATTAAACAAAGGCGCCAAGTCGCAGCTCTGGATTGTACCTCTGGATTGTACCCCTGAAAACACGAGTCATAATAGTGTAATGATATTATGGGGCAGTCATTTTCTGCTTTGCTTTTACTGAGAACTGATGTTTTCAATGCAAGACTTTCACTTGTAATGGAGTATTTTTACTCTTCTTTTCCTTAAGTAGAGAATCTGAATACTTCCTCCAACCCAGAAGAAGTTGATGTTACCTGCAGGAAGCTTTTTAAAAATCCCAATTATTTTTTCAATCTTAACAACCACTGATAACACCTGAGACTAAAGGTGACATCCAACCATTCACACACACATTGATACAGTTTGTTTGTACATGCAGCATTTCACTGACACACACACACACACACACACACACACACACACACACACACACACACACACACACACACTCTGACACACTGATGGCAAGTATTTGAAGGCCATTTAGGGTTCATTGTCTTGCCCAAAGTCACTTTAACATTCTGACATTCAGAGGAGCCGGGTATCAAACCACCGACCACCCTGATCAGTTAGATGACCCGCTCCATCTCCCGAATTTCCTTGACTCCTTTCAGCCCACATCCTCATTATGCCGAGGACATTGCATTAAAGCCTCCTAATTAGAACAAGCTCTGTGTTGTTGACAGACACACACGGGATGTAAAGGGAGCTCAGGGAGAGCGAGGGGGGGAAGGGGCAGAAGGTGGGAGAAAGGATTGAATAGGAGGTGAGGAAACGCAGAGATATCAATACTGTTGTTTCTCTCTGACCTTCTATTTTCTATTTGTTAATCATTATTTGTCTTTTACTTTATGTGCATTTGTTATAATTCATATGATTTCCTTCAAACTCGTCCCCACTACTCTTTTCATTATTATGTATTCTCCGTTTAAAACTCCCAACGCTAACACAACCATCCAACTGTGATATTTAATATCTTTTTAATTGCTGGATAGAACCCAAATGATGAATTCAATCTTTTTCCCCACTAATCTTGAGGGAGCTCTTAACATTTCTTTGCATAGACTAACTTCCTTAGCTTGCAGTTTTACGCTGAGCCGCAGGAAAGATTGATACAGCAAAACGACAGAGAAACAAATCAAGCTAAGTGCTGTGAATCGTGCCTGACTGGAATTTAAAAAAGTGCGTCTGTGGTCCAGTGGCAGCGTGTCCATCCGTCTCTTCACTTTGCTGATAAGAGTGCTGTAAGTGTGTGTATGAATTTTAGCTTTTAGAGCCATGCTGTTAACTCTCCATGAAGTGTGGGTGTGTTTTGAAGCCAAGTGATACTAGGTGTGTTTTAATGTCACTGTGTAGGTTCCCAGTGTGTGAGTGTGTGTGTGCACGCAGAAGTAAAGTAGGAGGGATGTCAGGGGGTGGATTGGTGTGAATGTGTGTGCGCATCTGTTTTTGCATATCATTACGCCTCTTAAATCCCCAATTTGCATAAGTGATTGCAAGCACTTGCATTTTTTTTTTTACATTTTCCTGTGTGTGTGTGTGTGAACACAACTGAATGATGTGACTGTTGAGAAACAAAGAGTGCAATCAAAACATATTTAATATTTACATATAATTGCTAGAAATATAAATACTTGATCCATTTGCACACTTTGGCCCTCATGCCAGAACACTTATCCAATAAGCTCTTACTCAAATTGTGAGGGTTGCAAGTTTGATTCCCTGAAGTGAACCCGAATTATTAGTTTCAGCTCAGTAAATGCCACCTGTGCGAACATTTTAATAATAGACGCCTCTTAATTGCTTCTTATTTGGCAATTTGTGGGTAGATTTGATTCATAAAATTGTTAAACCAAGTGTTTAAAGAGGGAGAATATATTAGAGCATCCAAAACGATGATATAAACATTTCCAGGATCAGCCTGTTTATCTGTTCTTCTTTTTCCCACTCCACAGAATTTTGTGGAAATTGCTTCAGTAGTTTTTGTGTAATCCTGCGAAATAACAAAAGAGACGAACAAACACAGATGAAAATATCACCTCTAGAAATCAAGCTGACAGAGATGGAGGCAGAACAGTTTGACATGAAGCCACAGAAATGGACAAGACAGTTACATTCACCATGCAGTCAATGTCTCACAGTCGAGGATGATCCATGGACAGAGACCTGCATAAAGAGGCTGAGGCAGCTGGTGCAGGGAGATAACTTGCCACAACTAAATTGTATAAATTATGACCAATTTAATAAGCTCTCAAACCGCTGAGGAAAATAATTGGCAAGCCATATATAATGAATAGAATATGATTGATTTTAGATGAATAATTTCCTGTATGTACGACAGGTGTGGAGCAACTCTATTTTAGTGAATGCAACACATCTTCAATGATAACTTGCACCAATCTATTTGTATCGGTGGTTCTTGCATGCAGCCCAGTATCTTAAATTTCTGTTGTTTCAAAAGAAAAATAAATCGGACATGGAGATTAACGTTTAAAACGATGTCTCACCATCCTCGTGTTTGTTTTCTCTGGCAGGCGCAAGTACAAGAAGACGTCCCAGAGGTAAGACTTGCTGCCAGGACCTTGGACCTCTTCATTCTCATCCTCCCTCATATTCATCCCACTCTCCTCCTCCTCCTCCTCCTCCTCCTCTTCCATCGTTTTCAGTATTCTACCTCTGCCCCTCCCACTCACCATTAACACTGGACCTTCCTTTACCTTTACATTGTCGTTCTTTATTGTCCATGGTTGCTCATGCTGCAAAGACAAAAACTCTGTTATGAAACTCTGTTCTGAATCTAATGCAATCTCAATAAAAGTTGTTTTTGTTGCCATGATTATCTTCATTTACTGTCAACCTCTGTTCCCGAGGGCCAGAAGTGCAGCTGAACAAGTGCAACACACCTTGTTACACTGCGCATTCACAAACTCTATTTCTGTCTGGTGTTGTATCGAGTGCCGACTCATCATTAGATAGCCGGAGCTCTAATGGATAGAAATGATGGTGACGCAGATGTTTGGGAGCAAAAGACGTCTCTGAACTTGAAAGCCTGATAAATAAGTGGAGTGCTATGCATGTTATCTTTGTCATTATAAAACCTTCATTTGTCTGCTGCTGCTGGAGATGCTCAGGGGAAATCAGGCTCTCCATTAACTGGGACTTGAATGTGTTTATTTACAAGGATGCAAACAGGGATTAATTAACGCCACTGGATGAATTGATAAAGCAGATTAAACTATCATTTCATACAGTTGTTTCTGTATTGATCTGAAAAATGATTTTGGTGTCTTTCATTATTCACGTCAGCTTCCCCTGTTGTGACTTTTATTTCTGATGCAAAGGGCACATTTTATGGCTTTAGGACCCGACAGACCCCGTAAAACTCAATGTTTAAGACACATCTGCAGACGGGTTTAATGCTTAGTGGTTAAAATGGTAACGCTGTATTTTATGGGTGCCATTATTTAGCCTGAGTTCCTCGAATAATATTCAGCAGGTCAGTGAAAAATATATAGTTCATAGTCGGATGTGAATATCTATCATAGGTTTAAGTTTGTTTTTTTTCTGTTGCAGATTAATACACATTTTAATTCTAGCATATAGACGATGCATGTGAATCAAAATGAACAGTACCCATGGTCAAAGCAAACATATCATACATTATGAAATCATGGATTGTTTTCATTTCATTTTATTTGGCATCTAGAATGTCACTCAGTGTGCATACCTCTGCCAAGGCCACACAGTCCCCTGATGAAAACACATGTACAATCACTAGATACAGATTTTTATTTGGATCTGCACCAAATTGCACACTCTCATAAATATTAGTCCCCTAAATGTGAGATCCATGAATTATTCTCTAAGAAAGTGCTCTAACTCACAATGTTAAAGAAAGTGAGAAGAAATTCCTGGATCCGCCACCTGATCCGGATCTGCATCAAATCTGAATGGGTCCTTTCCTAATACTCTTTCTATAGCGTATCCTTCCACAGGGTTTCAAGTCTGTTCATCCAGTAGTTTGTGTGTAATCTGGCAAACTAACAGACAGATACACACTGACCAAAACATACACTCTTTGGCATCAGCAATAAGAAAAATATTGGGTCACCAGCCTGATCCTTTAAAGGCAAATCACTGGTATGTGTCTAACAACACAGTATACGTTTTTAGTTTTCCTTACTTCCTTATTTTCTTTATAATATTCAAATAAGAGCACATTACAACAACCAACACAGAAGCTTATTTCTCTGTTCAATGCACCACTCCTCTCTGCAACAGTTAAATCAACTGTTGCTTCTTCAATCAGGAGAATACATTGGCACAAATCGTGTTAACCGAGTAAATAGGAAATTGCAACGACACCACAGATGAGACTCAAAACATATGTGTATTTCTGAAGTGCCAGTTTAATGCTCTTTCATGACATTTTCAACTGTGGGATTTCTGCACAGTTAGAGTAATTGAACGAAACTCCTCATGCTACTCATCGGCACAGCGTGTGGTCGCTTGCAGCGGCACAGAGCGAGAAACTCTCACTCTCCCCGTCTCTCTGTCGCTGTCGCTCCGTCTCGCTCGCTCTCGCTCTGCTGGGTGGGTGAGTTCCTGTGTGGAGGAGCCGGGTGATTGACAGCTCCATATGTGTCTGTGTAATTACGGTCGGTCTAATTGGCAGAGAGGAACACTGGGACATTGTCATTACTGACACACCAGGACAACCCCTCACACACGCAGATGGAGGGAGAGATAGCCGTCTTCACAGGGGGAGGGAAGGGAGAGAGAGGGGTGTTTGTGTGAGTGTGTGTTTGTATGGAAAGGGAGTTAAGAGACATGAGAGTAAGGCTGAATAGAAATAAAAGGTAAGACTGTGTAGGCCTGAGTTTGTGTTGGTCTGGTGGTGGTGGTGAGGGAAATGTTTGCCTGTTTCTATTTTGGTTATAATTTTCGATCACATGGTCACTAATGTGATCTGCTCTTTCAACAGCTGACAGTTTTAAGCCCCACCTCCCTTGGTTACCGTTGCTATGACTGGCAGCTCTCCATTCTTGCACAGCACAAAGGATGTGAAGTAGTGATCATATATAGTAGTTCTTAGCATTCTTAAAAGCATGTGTCCAACAGGGATTCTCATTTCAAGCCTGCAAGTTGTTGACTGAAATGCACCTGTCGCTAGTTAGCTAAGTAAGCTAACGATAGGTCTATGAGTCCGCAGATGATGCGTGCGGCAGACTTGCCCTGTTTTAAAGCACTACCTAATACAAAGTGAAGCCAAATTCTCTCAATTGCCGCCTGGTTGGCTGGCTGTTGTACAGGTCATGCCCTACCCTGCCTCCTCCATGTTATCAGGTGGGACATGGGCCAGAAGTCAGAGAACAAGACATTTTTTCTCAAAGATGATTTCTGGCATTGTAGGTGGTTATTGTCATAATTAATGTTTGAGTCAATATTTTAGGTAAATGTGGTTTTAATTAAGTATTTGATGCTATAAAAACAGGTAAAATGTCTTGATTGACAGCTGAGATCGAGACCTCGATACTGTGGCCTCATCATGGCTCAAAAGCGTAAAATGGAAGCACTCGCATCAGGGATATTTTGGCTTAATTTAAGAATTAGGCAAAGGCTGGAGGCTTAAATCGAAGGTCCCAGTCACCTCATCAGCTGATAATCTTTCTAGGACAAGATACTTAAGATACAACAATGTTCCTTGACTGTAGGACTCCTTTTGCCAAGTATACACATAAAACTTTTCTGCTACATTTCTTAGTGGCTAGTCCAGTTTTGTCAATCTAAATATCTACATGTTGTTGAATGTGGTGTATTTTTATGCTTCAAATCTATAATTTCATTCATTTTGGAAAGCAGTGGAGCAAAAATGCAGTTATTTTGTGCCTGAATATATTCTGTGTAGACACACACAGAGGACAGCCAGAGAGAAATTTTATGCCATCCACTTTCCCAGAAAGAAAGAACCAGCAGTAGCTCTTGTGAACACAAAAAAGGCATCGATCACCCAAGTCTGACCAATTACAACAATTGTTTACCAGCAAAGTGACAAGTAGATATATCTCTGTATTGCTTGGCCTGTAAACAGTGTTGAATGAAACAGGCTTTTACTTAAGCCTGTGGTCACTCCTTGTAGCCCAGGCTTTAAAAGCTTTAAGTGTTTTGCCATCTGATCCAGGCATACTTCCAGCCTTAAATGGCCTTATGTAGTCAGCACAGTTGCCAACGCTGTCGTGAGTGTGTTCCTGTGTGTGTGTGTGTGTTTATAGAATAGTTTTCCTGTATCATTTCACTCTCACAGTGCCGATGTGTTCATGCACATTGCTATGAAGCATCGCAGGGATACATGTTTACAGCAGATCCATGTCTCAAGCCTGCTCCCCTCCACTTTGCTCCATTCTTCAGACACTTTGTTTGTAAATATGTTCATGTATGAAATATTGAGACTAATGGCAGTGTCTCTGTTTGTGAAAGCAGCAAGAGCGTTTTCGGGTCAGACACTTTCACGACAGGAACATTTCTGAACAGCATGCAGGACATAACGTATAATAGATATTTGCATTCTCATATACAGCCCCTCTGGGAATTTCTGGTTCAGCACATGTCTTAAGGCAGTTTTGGCTTCTAAACAAACTTCATTTTCACTTTATGTTTCTGTCTCTAAAGCACTTGCTGCAATAATGACTTGATATTTAATCATCAAAATGTCAAGTAGTAGACAGATTATTTTTTTCTGGTGCGACTGCAAGATCAGAAGTATTTATTTAGCAAAACAGCTGCAAAAACTTGAGACTAAAAACACCAGGTTGTTTGTTGCCATTGAGGGCACAGAGGTCATGTCATGGGTCATTTTGGGAGTCTGCTGGGTTTTAGAAAACTTATGGAGAATTTATCTTTTACATAAAAAAAAAAGTGCAATATGCTATAATCTGTATTTATAGGATTTCTCTTCATATGAAGAAATGTAATTGACTAAAAAATCGATATTGAACAGTTAAACGAATGAATGTAATTGTTTCCAAAGGGACCACGATTCGCATACTTTAAACTTGCCGCAGTGAAACTCCTGTCTGTGCAGTTAAGCAGGACAGTAATTTCACTCTAGAAAAAAAACACTAAAATATCTATCAAAAAAATCAGCACATTGACTGAAGGTAAAAAAAAAAAGCAGGAGCAGTGTAGAGGAGGACAGATATCGCCAGGCTGAGAGTCACAGGGGAAAATTGATCTCTTTGGTTAATGTCAGTAATCAAGGAGCAAATCTTCCAGGCATTGGCTGCCTTTCAAGAACAACCCATTAGATGCCATTACCCAGGCCTCTCTGTCTCTCATCCCTGTGGTCCAGGCCATTTGTCAGTCACCACAGCGATTGGAGTTCAACGCTGAGCTGTTATGGAACAAATACTGAAACAAACACAATCCTATCTCGTAAAACAAAAAACGAATTGTCTCTCGAGCAATTAGGAGCTGGAATTACAGTTGCAATAAAGATGATGAAGATAGAATAAAGACAATGATGCACACTGTTTATTAAAGTAGAAATTAGACACACAGTCAC